GGCTTCTTGAGTTTTGGTGGGAGGTAAATGATGGAAGAGGAAAGTGTTAAAAAACTGCTGTTTTAATGCTCCTGTATAATTTAAGCACATGTCGAAACTTCAAGTCAGTTTCACTTTGATAATAATATAGTTCTACTACTGTAACTAGAACACTTTTTCCTGTGAATTTGTCCTTTCCTGACTTAGCTACATACTATAGCCCAGGATTCTTCTTTGAAAAAGTAGAAAAACATCTGCTTAATGTTTGTTCCTTTTCTTTGCTTATGTTACACAAAAAAGTTTCATTATTTTTGTAGAATTTGACCCTTTTCTGGCTGTATTTAATTCTACCCATATGATTCTGAAACATAATACTATGACTCATTTCTAGGGTGCACTATGTCCTAAGCACTTTAATATTACAATAGGAAAAACCCTAGAAGTCCAGAGGATGGAGTGAACCCAGGTCAGTTTGGGACGAAGCTTGTATGATATTATTTACTGTATAATACTGTCTTCTCTTCTGACGTGTAAATTTGCTTTCTTAGATTGTCAGGGGAGAAAACTCTATAAATCTCACCTGCATTGATTTCTCTGACATGGTTTTACAGGACTTCTAACTGGAAACGGTTGCTCTGGTGGCTACTGGCTAACTCAGCACTTGACATGCTTTGCAAATGGGGAGTTCTGCAGCTGTAAGCTTTGGGGAATGGGCAGGCACAGAAACCCTGCTCTGCATCACCTCCCTGATCCCTAGATGGCGCTACGGGCTCAAATGCAGTGCCAGACTGAAGTCACCCGTGGACGCACAGGGGAAGGTGGGGGCGCCAGGTTCAGATGCTGTGCCAGGCTATCTTGTCACTGTGCACCTCAAAATATATTAGCTAGTCTGAGGTTCAGCTAACGCTCATTTCATTAGAATAAAATTTCTGGTAGTAAAAACTAGCAGGTTTTAAAAGATTTAAAATTTTGTTCCTGGGCAGACTGTCACCTATGTCCACGCTAATGGTATTCGCCATGTAGGAGTCCCAAGTCCCTCTGACTGTGGGACACCGGTAATGCTTGCTGGAATCCCGTTAGGCGGAGCACCAAGTCAGTATGTAGGTAAGGTGGGCCTACGGAACACCCCTACTGCAGACGTTAAAACTGAAACCACTTCTCCCAGCATAAATGGGGAACACAGTCACTGAGACATGAGTATGTAAAATCTGCACCTAAATGTTTGACGTTATGGGAAACTTAGGATATGGTTCTCTTTTTTATGATCATATGTGCAACTCAACTGGGCAATCAGTCTGTCTTACAGTGAACACTTTCCTGGGTCCACAAACAAGGCAGATAATATTTCTCTTTTTATCTGGAGGGAGATTTAAAAAAACTTTAGTCATCGTTTAAAAATATTTTAGTATTGTATTAGATGTCAATAATTTCTATTTCATCGTGGAAGTAAGATTTTATTACTAATACTCACAAAATAGGCTACAACCTCTTATTCACATAAATCAATGACAAACATTAATCAAGAATAAAAAAAGATGTTATTTTTGAAAGTTTTACTCTAGTTCAGCAAAAAATGTCTTAACCATTTGTTTTCTTTTCTATCCCCTGCATCTAATAAAAGAACCAAAACCACAGCTGGTCTGTTTTTCAAGTACTTAAAACACACGGCCCAGGACCGGCTTAATAACTGTTAAATGAAGGAAAAACACAGTTCTTTTAGGACCATTTAGTACTTCACCATGCCTCTAAAATGCTGACGAACACACAACAGATAAATCCTATTTAAAACATTCAGTCATTTCATCACATAAGAAAGAAAACAGAAAATTAGCACCTCGCAGTTGGATAAACTTCTAGAGGTAATAGACCAGCTCAATACCAGTCATATACTAAAATAAAACGTTTAAACATTCGAACACAATCTGCTTCAATTGTGATGAAATTCTTTCTATGTATTTTATAAAAATTAACTTTGGAAATCTGACTCAAGGATACCAAAATCAGGATATTCTGGTATTTTGTACTGTAAGCTCTTGGAGAAGGCAAATAGGGTCTCAAATATTGCTGCTAACAATTTTGACAACTTGTAGAAGGCATTATTCTTGAACAGAACTGTGAGATTCTCTGAAATTGAGAGGTCAACTTAAAAGACCCAAAACGTTGACCAAAAGTAAGGTTCTGAAATGTGGGGTGACAGTGTCGAGTAGTAGTTCTCAAAATTTTTTGGTCTCTGGTAGGACACTTTTAAAAACTACTTTGAGGAGAAACTCAAAGGACTTTTGTTTATGTGAGCTCTATCTATTGATATTTACTATATTAGATACAAAATAGGATTAAAAATATTAATTCATCAGAAAAATAATATTACATGTGGATTAACATTTTAATGACAAAGCTATATTTTATAAAATGAAAAATTTAGTGAGAAGGATGGCGTGCTTACATTTTTATAAATCTCTTTATATGTGGCCTAACAGAAGCAGAAGCAGCTGGATTTTTGTATCTGATTCTGCAGTCAATCTGTTGTAATATCACATGGCATATAGCCTCTAGAAAACTCCAGTGTACATTCATTAGTGCATGAGAGTGCAAAGGTTAATATTGTCCTAACATTGCTTTGAAAATAGTTTTGACTCAGTGACTCCCTGAAAGGGTCTTGGGATCACTGCCAGGAGCCCCTGGACCACATGCTGAGACCTGTCGGCATGGAGGTTAAAGCCTCAGGTTCTAGATTCGGAGTTGCCGGGTCTGAATCCCAGCTCCTCTTCTTACTGGCTATGTGAACTAACTTCTTTGGGAGTCAATTTCCTCATCTGCAAAATGGAGATTAGTAATAACGCCTGCCTTGGAGAAGCTGCTGTATGAATTAAATGAGATGACTCATGTCAAGAACGTGGCCGGGTAGATAATGATTTTAAATAATAGTAAAACTAACATTAAAAATGTTTTGCTTTAAAATAGGTGTGGCCATCTTCCCATTGAAAATTTGCTGAGTCCAGCCATTTTACCGATGTAATGCTAATATTTAGCACCATTCGGAACATGTCTGCAACATAGGTGGTGCTCGAACATTTGCAAATAAATTAATGTTTATTTATTGTCCAGTGAATGGACAAATGGCTGTCCACATACAATGTTTATTGTCCAGTGAATGGACAAATGGCTGTCCACATACAATGGCTGTATCCATATTCCAACAGTAACACAATTCCTCTCTTTTCAAATGTTTAGTGATATGTCTTCAGATCTATTTGCAACTGGCAGTGTGGCTGGGCTGCTTTATTAGAATTACGCTGTACTTATGTCATGTGGGGAAGTAGGAAGGAAGAAAGGAAACCTGCTCTCATTAAATATCTACTCTACGCTAGCAAGTATTTTGAGAAGTAGGGATTTTTATCTCCACTTTACAAAGGAAAACTAAGATGAGGTAAGCTATATAATTTTGTTTGTGGTTGTACAGCTAACATATTTTTCCTACTATTCCTTGCAACGTCTCTAAACATTTTTCCAGAGTTTTATTTAATTCCTTGCATACGATACATCTTCGATAAATGTTTACAGAATGAAGATGGCAGATTGTATCCAATCCAAAGGAGGTGGATTCTGAAAACTGCATCATGGAAAGACAGGGTATCCTGCAGCAAGGCAGGTCACCATCACCAAGGCCAATGCTATTTTGGCTACAGAACTCTTTACGAGGAGGTTGATGAGGAGGTTGATACATCGCCACCAGACTCATAAAAAAGAAACACGCAAAGCAGGAGCAGCAACATCAGACATACTTTTGACTTTAACTTGGTTTTGGAGGACAGTCACCCCTTAAGGACCACCGTTATTCCTGCTTAGCAAGTAGTACGATAGTAACTTTTCAGACTCAGTGTATCTACCATGGCTCACACTTAGAAACAAAGAGACAAGAATGATTATTTTTTTTTAAGACAAGTTATCAGGAGGCAAATGATGGTTGCGATGTTTGGGACAATGAAGCTCTGCTACGCATAGTAATAACAGGAGAATAGCCAGCAGATGTTATTTTATAAGAAACATTATTTATCACCCGCAATCCGTGATTTTTCCATCAAGTTCACTCTTTCATTCAGTGTTTACTGGATGTCTGTCATTTTTCTAGGCGCTAGATGTACAGAGATGAATAAGGCATGGTCCCTAACTGCAAGGGGCTCACCTCCCAAAGGGATCAGACGCAAGGACACAGACAAGTACCGCAGAGTATGATAAATGCTTTTATTGCTTTGCACCACGTGCCAAGCCAATCTGGAGGAATAGCTAATGCACAGAGTTATCGGAGAAGGGTGGAGAACATTCCAGAGAACAGGGAAGAGAGTGTATGAGGGCCCAAAAGTACTGAAGGAACAGCATGTTCGAGGAAGTGTCCACGATTCAGTGAAGCCAGTGAGAGGTGGACTGAACACAGGGCAGCGGAGGGGCCGGGGCCTGGGAGTCTGGATTTCGCCTCGAAAGCACGGGGAGTTCGTTACCGAAAGACGGATGCCTCAGAATGAGCATCCTCGCAGTTCTGTCTAGATGTCTAGATGTGACGATGGGAAATCAAGACTGGAATTAGTACATGAAAAATAAAAATGGTCTGAATGTGGCAGAAGGGGAAAGGAAAATGCAGAAAAGTTCAAGAGAATTTAGGACGGGAGACGACTCTGAACAACTTCCACATCTGTCACGCGGAGACTGAGGTGTGAATGACGTCCGCGTAAGCGGCACTGAGAGATGTTTGGGGAGAAGGTGAGTGAATGGCTGAACCTCGAAAACGATGAGCTTGAAACAGCGCACGAGACGCAAGCGGAGATACACGGGAGATTAGGCGGGTCTACGCCCAGAAGAGAGACGACATTACAGCGCTCGCGACATCACGTTTACGTACTTGACCTCCACATGTAGGAACTAACTTAATCTTTATAGCACCCCTACCAGATAGGTACTTTATCATCCGCACTTGACAGATGAGGAAACTGAAACATAAAGAGGTATAAACATTTGTCCAGACTCACACGGCTAGGAAGTAGCAGGGTTGGAATTTGAACCAGGCAGTCGGGCTTATATACTATGTTCTGCTCCTGATGAACAGATTAGAAAAACATTATTTGTAGAGACCTGTAATTAATTTTTAAACATTTTTTTCTGATAATGAGAGTAATAATATTCAGAAACAATTCTAATCATAAAAATAAAATTTACTTTTAAATGTAATTTCTATAAATACTATACTAAATATTTTGTATAATAAAATATGTTAATAAGAAAAAAAGGAATATAAATTCTATCGCTTCGAGGCAACCATTGATTACATTTTAGTATACTTCCTTTCAGTCTTTTTCAAGAACTATGCTCTTACCCTGGAATATGTAATTTTTAGCCCATTTTTTAAGATTTAAGATAACATAAATATTTCCTCAGGATATTAAAATTTCTAACCTATCATTAATGGCTATAAAATTTCTTCAAACTGATGGACACAATGTATTCAACCAATGCCTTAGTGCTGGACATTTATTGTTCTTTATTTCCCACTATTATAAGAAAATTGCATTAAACATCTTTGCACATCATGCTCTTTTTGCCCACAATTAATTTAAAAGTAAATTCTCTCAGGATAGTCATAGATGATAATTTCAAAACAATATGCATAGACAGTGATGGATAAATGTTATAAATAAAACCTAACTTTTTTTCTAGAAATAACTTCAAAAACATATATTATTTAACAGAAAATTATTTCAAAAACGAATACAATAAAAGTAAATGGAAATATAGCTAAAAGGAAAATGGCTTCTTAAGAACAGTTATTTTTAAACTGTAACAGATAATTTCAAATGCATTAAAATAGTAATGTTTCTTGATTTGGCCTGGCAATATTTTCAGTTGTATTTGATTAACACACATTTCATTAAGGTCTTCCAAAATAAGTGAAATTCTGTTGGCCACGTTCTAATAATATGATTTAATTTGAGTGAAATATTAGATAGAAAACGTGTAAAACTCAAAAAACTTAACACCTACATGATGACATCTGAACTTTAATCTTTTAAACTTATGTTTAAAGTATGTTGATATACTATATATGAATCTTTTCTATTACGATCGTCTTTTCTATTGAAATTTACAATTATATCATGTAATTATACAAGTCCCCTTAATAGTTACACTGCTTCATGCTTAAGGAATTGAAAACGATACTAAAAATTGAGACCACCCACCACCCCAAAAACCCCGAACATCCAAACTGTTACTTATATAACTGTTGGGCAAGGCATCTAACTTACAAAAATTTCTATCCCCATGAGAAAAAAATGGAAAACTTTGCCACGTCAACTTTACTTTTTAATCACACAATGGGAAGATGAGTAAATTATAATATTCATCACCAATAAGCCTTCTTTGAGTAAGTATCAATTGACTCTGACCATAATTGATAACCTAAGCCAATAGTACATTCTGTTACAATTCCAGGTTCAAAAGGTTAATTATGGCCTGGCCACAGGCTCATCCGGAAACCTGAAACTGATTGCTATATGCCTTCTTAATGAAGACATACTGCACGGATTGTAGGTGCATACTGACAAGTGATCGGAACCTCCGACATCAATGTAGCAAGCATTAACCTTCGCCACGTCAATTTAACTGTCATTCTCACGGTTTATATCCCACCCGGTCCTTTTATTCTATGAGAAAGACAGAGTCTGATACCTATTTCCTTTGCAAAGGCAAGATTTCCCTTTTCATTCTAATGAATACAAGAATCAATAATGGTAAGTCAATTCAAACTATGTTATGAATTAACAATACCCAAGAAAGTTAAGAAGAGATTAGAGTGATGATGAGAGTTATCATTTGTCACCAAAATCTTTAATTTGCACATAGATTTACTGCCCCGGTGCACAGGGCATTAGAAAAATATCAGCATCTTTTCCTTCTAAGAGGCACTTACACTGTCCCCTTATTTATAAGCCAAGAAAAGGAAATGGCAGGCTGAATTATGAGCATCAACTCACAGATAAAACCAATTTAGCAACTTTCATGGCTTGCACCCAACACTCACTGCCAGTCTGGGGAAGAAGAACCAGTATGTTCTAAAGCAGAGTAGGGACTAAGATATCTTCAATACAGCATAGTTTCTGAACAGATCGTGGGACAATAACTAGCAACAGAATCATTTCCTTGATGATAGACAACAGAGAAGCAAAGTGGTATAAAAAGACACTAAAATATAAGGCTGACAACATAATGGCTGTGTTCTTTACTATCTGTGGGCCTTTCAACCAAACATTTCGTCTTTCTGGGTCTCGGTTTCTTCACCTATAAAACAGGAATAATTCCCGTTTGCTTTATCTCATAAGGCGGAGGTTTTCATCCATGGCTGTACACTAGGATCGTGCTGAACTTAATGAAACAAGGATAATCGGGTCCCGCCCCAACAAGTTCTGATGTAATTGGTTTTGCGTGTTCCCAGGCACGGGTATTATTACTATTTTTTGGTGGTTTTTGTTTAGAAAGATTTCTTAAAATTTTACTTTTTAAACTTTTGACTATGGAAATGTTCAAACATATACAAACATAACAGGAATACTTTAATGAATCCCAGGTACTCATTACCAAGCTTCAAAGATTATCGATATTTTGCTAGTTTTGTATCATCTGTTCCCCCACCCTCCAACACTTAAAAGTTTTTGTTGGAGTATTTTATAGCAAATCCACACTGGCATTAAAAAAAAAAAAAAAAATTCCCCATATGATTATACTATACAGCCAGTATTAAGAACCAGATGAGAATTTAAAAAATATTTTCCAAATTACAAAAGAATAATACTAAAAACAATTCTATGTCCAAATGAATGATTGGGCTCAAGCATTTTTACTGAAATTGACTGATAGGTCATCAGAATAAAACAGTTTCGTGAATACCATGTCAGTCATTTTCACCCTTTGAACGGACTAGTTCTTTCACAAAAGAGACCCTTCCTAGGCCACAGGAGAAAAATCTTATTTCTCCCTTCACACCCAATATTTTCACCTTTACCTCCCCATCTTCTGGTTCCCCAAATGTGCTACTCCCTCAACCTGGAAGAATGTACCCCACCGCGACCCCTCGCCCCCATCTACCCGGCCACTTCCCATTTGGCCTCAAGGCCCAGAACAGCTGTCCCTTCAGGAAGTCCTCTGGCTCCTCTCTCCCTGTCTTGCTCTCGTCAGGCCCCAGGGAGCTTTGTCTTCTGAGGGCCGCTGCGGGCCTGTCTTTGCCTCAGTCACAGTGTGAGCTCCCTGTGCTGTTTCCTGTCAGTCTCGCCACCAAACACGGGGTTCTCAAGGGCAATGATGATTCACAACAGCTGTGGTCCACGATGGGCCGTCAGTGCGCTCGGGTTTTCAAACACACAGGTCAGCTACTTTCTCTGGGAGCCCAACTAGAGATGCTCAACAGTCTGTTCACCAGCTTCCTGATGTGGAGAACACTTTACTCCATGCAGCGAAACCTCAGTTGACTGCCTAAAGGGCCACAAGCCCAAGGAATGACCGCTTAGTAGATGAAACACAGACATATAAGAATGTATAGGGAACCCTAATTACATCTTCCCCCCAACAAAACCACCCCAACTTCAGAATGGCCTGCTGCCGAGAACCTGGTTTCTGTATCAGGCCAATGAAGAGAGAGACTGATTCTAAAATACCCATAGATGTTTTTGCTATTTAAAGATATAAAATAGAGGGACATTTTTGAATAAAGAAAAGCTTTCCTCTCCAAAAGTTTAAAGACAGAACATGCTAAGGAGCACAGTTTATTAACCTATAATATATAATACATGGCCACCGCTTATATAAACACATCCTCTGGGATTATTTTCCCAATAATGTAGGGGATCACAGGGAAAAAGAAACGACTGTCTTCAGAGATGATAATAAGAGCAGTTGGAATAATAGCAATAACAACATCAACAACAGAACCATCTAATTCTTAATGAGGACTATGTGTCGGTTACCATGCTAAGCATATTATCTCAATCCGCATATCAGCCCTAGAAGTAGATATTATTATCTACATTTTATGACGAAACTGAAGCTTAGAGAGCTAAGAATTTGCCCCCAAATAAAAAGAGATAGTAAGTAGCGGTACAGGGGTTTCGTTTGTCTAATAGTTCGGGAGGAGAGAACTAAAGACAGAGAAAAACTAAAAAAGGAGCTGACATGATTCAGATTTCTTCCCCGCACTGGTCACTCATGGCCTGCAACAAGCTCTGCACTGGATCTAGAAAATTACTAAGGGACAGTTCTTTAGGAGCTCCTCAAAGCAGAAAGTGGTAGCCTTTCATAAAACATCAGTTTACAAGATGATGCGAAGTCAAGAATCACAAACTTTAATTACGCGGACACAATTGATGTGTCATGTTATCTAAAACCATCATAATTCCTTTTGTACTAGCGTATGAATCTCTAAAAGGTCTAGTACGTACTCTGAAATTCTCACTGAGATCTCAAAATAATTCATAAATATCCCTCTTCTTCCCTCCTCCACCCACAATTTTTTGTAAATAAACTAGCTTTTAAGGTAGACACTGATTTTTACAAAAGTTAACAAGAACTTCAATGGCTTTTTAGTGACCTTTGCTTCAAATCGTTTTGGGAAGAAAACAGACAAAAACAAGTTAATAAATATGACACGCGAATACTTAAGACTCTCCTCGAAGGAATAAAATACACTAACACTGTATAATCATGAAGTGTTTAACGCCTTTCATGATGAACAAAACCCTTTTACATGCATTTCATGTTATTTCACCTGATCTTCACACGATCCACTGAAACAGAAAGGCCCGTCGACATGTCCGTTTTGAACTGGAGAAAAGTAAGGCCCAGGAAGCTTACAACCTGCCAAAGGTAACCTGACTAAAACCCTTCTTGTTTTCCATGCGTTTATCAGCATCAACAGTGAATTTCCTCTGGTGGGCTATAAACGTAGCACCAGATGGAAAGGATTGTGCTTTCTTTTTATTTATAGTCAGCAATGTCTTGAACAAGTTCAACTCCAAACGATAAAATAGAAAAGACTCACGAAGCCATAGAA